AGAAAGAGCACGAGGAGATAGATGAATACCCATGGTACGTCTATCGGTTGTTGTGGTTTGCTAAGGTAGTGATAGTTTTGTTTCTGTTATAATGTGTTAATATTATGTACCGTTCGGCGTTGTTAGTAAAGAATAAAATATTTAAATAAAATATATATTGTATAATAAGCCATTCAGATAAGATATAAGCTGTAAATTAACTTATTTAAGGATTATAAGATAGCAGAAGAAGTATTATGCCATATCAGAAGAGGGGTGCAATATATACCATTATAGACTTTCCTAAGAGCTATAATTCTTATATCCCTATTGTAAGGACATGTAATGTTTATTAATTCTCATAATATAAATCTGTCTTATTACAACCTTATAGTATCTTTTATATATCTTATCCAATGAGGGGTGCAATAAATGTCATTATGGATAATATTGTTTTTTACATATTATATATGCATATAAGAGTATATAATAATTAAGACTTTTTCCTGACGTGACTCTAATTCAATATTGCTCCTTGATCCGGTCGGATAAGAAGGTTTGCCACATCATGTGCTGTCGATGAGGCACTACAGCAGTCTGCACCGCTTATAAACTTTAAACTCGCTATAAGACAGTAGAAAGTGGGTATACCTTATTGGAAATTCTCTCTAGCAGCTAGCCATGGCCGACCAGACTCTTGACTATGGACTAGTCTCCAATTTAGTCACTGCACAGTACCTCAGTATAGTACTGTTGACCATCTTAGTCTACTACAGTAGTATGTATTCCAATTTTCTCAATTAATTTCTAACTGACGGAAAAAATCCAAGTCACAACAATGGATAAAAGTGTATGGCAGTTGCGCTATAATCTCTATACAACTGCTGAGCTGTCTTGCTACAGGTGAAATACTTCTGGGTGAGGTTAATGCTCATTAACATAGGTTCATAATCCATTAATTGCAACAAAGTCCAAATCACGGAGGCTTACTAGCTTGATCTTTTGTACTGTAGGAGTTATTACAGTTTGTATTAAAGAATTAAATTTAACATTATTTTCAGAACATTTGTGTTGGGCTCATTGGTCAAATTTGTTACATAATTCGTAAGCAATTGTCTACATGGTCTACAGATTTGTAGGAAGCAATAAACTCCTAATATTTTACTCTAGGCAGTGGCTTTCAGCAAAGTATTTTGAGGTGAGGAGCAATCTGTGTCACGGTAGTAAGGGTATACTATGCTGATTTTGCTGATTTTGCCCCTTCACATGCATCTCTTGTAGCTGTGTGTTGTTCCTTCTGGCCAATCATACCTACTATTGACAATAAATTAGGCCGGGCAACTATATGGATTGGCGATTTTCTTAGTACGAAGTCTACTCTAATACATAATAGGTTGAGTATAACACATACACTAGATTTGATTACAATCGTCCTTATAGACTGTATGCACAACTGTTTATGATTACAGATGATTTTTTGTACAGCTAATTGTTCTATAGACATACTTCAAGTCCGTGTATTAGCTCTTTACCAGCAAAGTAGGTAAAATTGTCTCCTAACTGATTTTTAAGCTTAATTTTAGCAGACAAGGGGCTTTCAATCTTCCTGAAGGTTCTTCTTGTCATAGATGCTGGCATTGATCTTAGCCTCCTTATTTACGGTTTTTGGTATGAGAAAGGTAAGACTGAGATTTAGATACTCGATTATTTATTTCCTGTAAAAAAGATGGCTGAGGTGTAGAGTTTTTCAGTCTCGATCGATCGGCTTGCAGAGAGCATCAAGGTCTGTTTGATTAGTGACCCTCCGCAGTTTGCAGCAATTGTGTCATGGTAAGTATTATGGTTACGTTGTCCTACTCTCTCTGAAGTAATGTAGGTCTATTCCTCTAATATATGGATCGTTGTTACTTGGTCTGGCCCTCTTCAAAGCAACAGAATACTGGAGAATGTCGTCTGGATTCAAGGGCTTGCATCTTGTTAGAGTCCTCATTCAGGACCAAGTCCTATACTATGGCTTGTAAGTCGAGCAATATTATCAAATTAACTGACTAAATCAGTTACAGTGTAGTATTTTGCTGCATATTGAAGATAATGGAGTTTCGGATCGTGGATATCAATCCTTTCGTTGCCGACGTTCTGACAATAGCCGGGAGTCCGTGCTTCCTTTGCGTCCTCGGTAGCCACCTCCTGATCAACATGAAGGAAGCAGGTGAGAGAGGGGGAAACGAGGGAACTAGTTACAAATTGAGGACATTTAGTGATGTTGAATTTGCAGAAGGTATGCTTGCTTATGTCTTCTCATGATAATACTCAGCAGATATGTTTTAGGTGCTTCGACAGTTGATGGCCCGAACGAAGGACCAGATAATGCCTAATATATGTTGTTTGCCTCCTACGCAAGGAACAGATACTAACAGAAATGTTAGTTTCATTTATTAGTTCACATGTCTTACTGTTTGTTTTTGTTGATTTCGTTCTGAACATACAGGCTTTTATCTAATACTACTAGTCATATTATTTCATATGCGTGTATGTTATTCGTTATCGTTACTTAGGAAATTAGGGAGGACGTTGTTATAGCTCTCCTAAATTGCGAGTACATGGACACAAGTACTAATTAAGACTTTAATTTGTAGCCCAAACCGAATTCTAAAATCAGCTCTGGAAGGTCTAACTTTGGTTGTTACTACCTCTCCACCAAGAACTTTCAAAGTTTCTCGACCTATCTGGCCATCCACTGCTTTGTCTTGAGCGTCCTTTGCTGCCATTAGAATCTCTCTTAGCTTTCCTGTTACAACTACCTGAATCCCGCCGAGCAGCACTCGTATTTGTTCCAACATCGATTGTCGACTGCGTTCTATCTTCAGACGTGGTCTGTTCAACCGCCAGAAATGCTCTACCGGTTTCTGTGGGATCTAGTTCTTGTTGTCTGCTGTTCACTAGTTGGTTGAGTTTCTCGATTGACTTCCCATGAATCATAATATCCTTCTTTACTGCAAACTAGTGTCCGGGAGAATCGATACATATGATTGTTTCGTTATATGGAGTACAAGGATTCATACCTTGCCATCACCGAGATGTCCTTTCCAGTCAAGTGGTCCAACAGCGAATTTCTTTGCAACAAATGCCCAATGTGCAAATTTCAATATGTCGTGTCCTCTTTTGTACTGGACCTTCACTTGAGGTTGCTCATACATGTGTGTAGGATCGGTTTCGAGTTCTGTTGGTTCTAGAGGTACAAAGTATCTTATGTTTTTCATCCATTCTTCCCTTGTGATTTCTTGCTTCTTCTGATCTGGTATGTCATCGTACCTATCTGAGATAGACTTTCCGATGTAGGTCTTCCCGAGACTGGTTATCATCACTGTTCTCAGGCGACCCCGGGCGTTATCGCGGCCTACCACGATCTGTTTGTGAAATGTGTCTCCGTGATGACCTCCTGGTATGGCAGACCATAAGAATCCGATTTTCTCGTTTACGGTCCTAAGGCCTGGAGTCGGACCGACGATTATCTCACCAACGCGTACGGCTTCTAAGGGTTTGTATTCGATATCTGTGTCATCCATCTCGGGCTGTGATGTGCTGCGACGGTAGGAAGTGAAAAGGACCGGAGGGGAGCTATGGTTATTGCTTTAATAAGTATTGCGGGAGAAGTTTTGAGCAAAGCTGTACGGCCTTGAAACGCAATCTTGGACAATGGATGTTTTTTTTTTGTCAAGCATTGGAATGTTGACAATGTAATTTTTTCCTCATTTGGAAAAACGATGTCAAATATATCCGTTTCAACAAACCACCGCCCACAGTAGAATATATTACGTACTGAAGAGTCATTTGTTCGATAAAGGAGAAGTGCCAGTTATTTAGTATTTAGTATGCCGTGTTGATTGCTCTACCTGATAGGTAATTACGGACCAGGAAGGGTTGAAGGAAGATATCTAGAGTTCTAGAGTTCTTTCTTCACTGCCGTGTTTGCAGCATCAAGTTTTGTCGCCTGGAACGCATTTATAGCACGTAGCCGTTCCAATAGAGTCGGGTGAGAGTGACGATAAGCAGAGTATCTGTTTCGGAAATACATCAGCAGGTATTCCAAAAATTGAAAACACAAAAGTGAGAAACGTACAGCCAATCGACCCAGATGGTTGACAGATTCTTAACAAGGAGCGTAGTAAGGGCACGTCTGAGTCTCGTATCCATATCCTCCGTGCTCGGTTCCTTGAGCCGTTGAGCAAGCTCGCGCGCAAATCGATCTGCTTGCCACTCAAAACGCCGAGACAGAGCATTCATCACCGCGCCAATCACAGCTTCCGCGGGTGTCAAGATCATCTGGAACAAAAAGAAAGCGACGATCGACGGGGGAATCTCGGCAACCGTTTGAGGGAAGTCGAATGCGCGGAGCACGGGTGGGGCGTGTAAGAAGGCTGGGAAGAGGGCAGGGATAGAGAAAATGTGGAATTGAGAGATGAAGAGGAGTTTGGTTGGGTGTGCAAAGAGCCAGTGGCCTACATAGTTCGTGTGCGAGGACCGCTTCGACTTATTTGGATGTGCTTTCTGCGATGAGTGTGTCGAAGATGACGATGTGTTTGCTCCGTGTGAAGCATAAATTAGCGACTCGCCAAGAAAGGTTGGAAATGAGCATACCCATGACAGTCCGAAGAAATATGGGTTACTCTGTGAACTACGTTTAGAACATCGGTCTCGTGTAGGTGCTTTAGCGGGAATTTGAGCCACATGACCAGAGCTTCGATCCGAGTGCGCAAGTCTCCTTCCTTGAGAGGCGATAGGTTGGCAAAGAGAGGCTGTATGACGGTCGGGTAAAGGATGACTATCGAAGGCTGGAAGGCAAGGCCTTCAGCTTTTACTTACGCATTCAAAAGCCACCAGAAAAATAAATTTGGCCCACAGGAATCCCATAAGCCATGGTACGAATCAATCTCCTGCCCATTCAAAATGCGAATAAGTACGGACAGGAAGGGTGCGCCGATGGCGAGCATGAGGAGCCAGCCCTTCACCAGGTCGGTCACAAACAACTTGGGCGTTGCCTTGTTGAATGCGTGCTTCTCTTCTAAGACAAACGTCTGATATACGGATAGAGATAGAGTAGCAACAGTGGAAACAGGTATAATATGCCAACGAAACGTTCGATTGGAGAATCCACACAGAAGTTAATAAAATGTAGTGCGGCATAGGAACACTACGGATCTCGTAATCCGGGCCATACCCGAAACGCGAGATAGTACGGCCTGCAAGGTCCTAAGCCCATGCATAGACGCCAAAGTGCAACGTGGGCGATAACAGCACCTGGCGCACGAAACCAGAGAAAGATCCCTTGTCGCTTCCATAGCTCTGTGACTTTTTGAATGTCTCAGCGTCAATATGCGCTGCCAGCTTTTGAATAGTCAGTCGGATGAGAGGAAAGTGCGAAGGGTTCGGATTAAGAACGTGAGGTACGACTCGAAAAGATAGACTCCCCAGGAGAAAATCTGAGCGTATGCTTTCCAGTTCAATGGCTCGGTAGACACCCATGCAACCTGCTTTCTCAGTTCGTTCAGCTGAGGGTGCAGTATGCCCATTGCCGTGGCTGGTCAAGGTTGCATGACGCGCTTTCAGTCTGAACACATACACTTCAACGTGCTGTGCGTGCGTCGATCACGAGTGATCAGCGTGTTGCCTTTCCAAGTACATAACTGTAAAAATCTGTCCCAGGAATGAAAATTACAGTTGTAAACTCACAACCATAAACTGTAACTGATATTAATATGAAAATTACACACATATTGTATATAGTATGCTGTGATCCTTAGCATCATGGTTTAGCTCAACTGTCATAGACGTTGTCTCTCTTCTAACAAGTGCTGTACTGATTCTACTGAACGTATCTTTAGGCCCACGGGCCTGACCATATTGAAAAGGGAAGTTGGGCCATCCATTGCAGATTGTCATATGCTGAAACGTCAACTGTGGTCTGTTCACCCGCCACAAACGTTCTTCCAGTTTCTGCAGGATCTAGCTCTTGTTGTCTGTAATCTATATATTCTTTGAGTATCTCGATTGACTTTCCATGAATCATAATATCCTTCTTTACTGCAAACTGGTTTTCCGGGAGAGATAGTATTGATGTTTCATTATAATTTTTTATATGAAGCAGAAAAATTCATACCTTTTCATGGCTGGGACCTTGCGAGTTAATCGGGGCAACAGAGAACTCCTTTGCGATAAATGCCCAATGCGCAAATTCCAATTTGTTGTGTCCCCTTTGGTACTGGACCTTCGCTTGAGGTTGCTCATACATGTGTGTAGGATCGGTTTCGAGTTCTGTTGGTTCTAAAGGTACAAAGTATCTTATGTTTTTCATCCATTCTTCCCTTGTGATTTCTCGCTTCTTCTGATCTGGTATGTCGTTGTACCTATCTGAGATAGACGTCCCGATGTCGGTCTCCCCGAGGCTGGTTATCATCACTGTTCTCAAGCGACCCCGGGCGTTATCACGGCCTACCACGATCTGTTTATGAAATGTGTCTCTGTCATGACCTACTGGTATGGCAGACCACAAGAATCTGATCTTCTCGATTACGGTCTTGAGACCTGGAGTCGGACCGACGATTATCTCACCGACATGCACGGCTTCTAAGGGTTTGTATTCTATATCTGTGTCATCCATCTCGGGCTACGATGTGCTTGCGACGATAGGAATGAAAAGGACCTGAGGGGGAGCTATGTTTATTGCTTTAATAAGTATTGCGGGACATGTTCTGGGCAAAGTCGTACGGCCTTGAAACGCAATCTCGGGCAATGGAAGTTGTTTTTCGTCAACACTACAATATCGACAATGTAATTTTTCCTCATTTGGAAAAATGGCGACAAATATATCCTTTTCGAACAAACTGTCACTCGCAGTGAAAATATAAAACGTACTGAGTAAGGAGCTTTTGCTCGATAGAGGAGTGCCCACTGTTTGATATAGCCATGTTGATACTCTCTACATGAATGTGTAATTACGGGCCAGAAGGATCGGTGGGAAGATATGAGTTCTAGAGTTCTTTCTTCACTGCCACGCTTGCACCATTAAGTTTTGTCGCCTGAAAGGCGTTTATAGCACGTAGCCGTTCCAATAGAGTCGGGTGAGAGTGATGGTAAGCAGAGTACCTGTTCCGGAATTGCATCAACGGGTATTTCGAAATAAAAAGACAACACTGAGAAACGTACAACCAATCGACCCAGATGGTTGACAGATTCTTAACATGGAGCGTTGTGAGGGCGCGTCCAAGCCGTGCACCCATATTCTCCATGCTCGGTTCTTTAAGCCGTTGAGAAAGCTCACACGCAAATCGATCCGCTTGCCACTCAAAACGCCGAGATAGAGCGTTCATCGCCGCGCCAATCACAGCCTCCATGGGAGTCAAGATCATCTGGAACAAGAGGAAAGCGACGATCGTTGGAGGGTTCTTGGCCACTGCTGGAGGGAAGTCGAACGCGCGGAGAACAGGTGGGGCGTGTAAGAAGGCTGGGAAGAGAGCAAGGATAGAGAATATGTGGAATTGAGAGATGAAGAGGAGTTTGGTTGGGTGTGCAAAGAACCAGTGGCCTAGTTCGTGTGCGAGGACTGCTTCGACTTCTTCAGATGTGCTTTCGGAGATGAGTGTATCGAAGATGACGATGTGCTTACTCTACATGAAGCATAAATTAGCGATTCTTCAAGGATAATAGTTGGAAAGGAGTATACCCATGGCAGTCCGAAGAAATATGCGTTGCTGTGCGAACTACGTTTGGAACCATCGATCTCATATAGGTGCTTCAGCGGGAACTTGAGCCGTGTAGCCAGAGCTTCGATTCGAGTGCGTAAGTCACCTTCCTTGAGAGGCGATAGCTTGTTGAAGAGTGGTTGGATGACGGTCGGGTATAGGACGACCATCGAAAGCTGGAAGGCGAGGCTTTTCAACCGTTAGTTGTGCGTTCGAAAACATCTAGAAAAACAAATATGACTTACAGGAATCCCATGAGCCATGGTACAAATCGATCACCTGCCCATTCAAAAATACGAATAAATATGGACAGGAAGGGTGCGCCGATGGCGAGCATGAGGAGCCAGCCCTTCACCAGGTCGGTCACAAACAACTTGGGCGTTGTCTTGTTGAATCCGTGCCTCTCCTCTAAGACGAACGTCTGATATATGGATAGAGGTAGAGTTGGAACAGTGGAGATCAGGTATAATATGCCAACGAAAACGTTCGATTGGAGAATCTACACAGAAGTTAATAAAATATAGTGCGGTAAAGGGACACGACCACGAACCTCGTAGTCTGTGCCATACCCAAAACGCGAGATAGTACGGCCTGCAAGGTCCCAAGCCCAGGCATAGACGCCGTAATGCAACATAGACGATTCTAGCACCTGGTGAACGAAACCAGAGAAGATCCCAAAGCGCGCCTTGTCGCGTCCATAGCTCTGTGACTTCTTAAATGTCTCAGCATCGATATGTGCTGCGAGCTCTTTAGGAGGTTCTGTCTTTGAGTAGAGTGGGTATTGGCGCAAGCTAGACATGAAACAAAAAAAAACTTCAGTTGGATAGAGTAACGTGTGGAGGATTCAAATTACGAACGTGAGGTACGACTCGAAAAGATAGACTCCCCAGGAGAAGATCTGAACGTATAATTTCCAGTTCAGTGGCTCTGTAGACACCCATGCAAGGTGCTTTTGCAGTTCGTTCAGCTGAGAGTGCAGTATGTCCATTGTCGTGGCTGGTCAAGGTTGAATGACGCGCTTTCAGTCCGATGATGACACGTACACTTTGCCGTGCTCTGCGCGTCGATCACGAGCGATCGGCGCTTTACCTTTCCAGCAAGTAAAAGATGTATATGTAATCAGAATTGACTACAAATCTCAGCTTCAAGCCTTCAATGTTTCATTCTCATACTAAGAATAACAAGTACAGGAATACATCCACTGATCCAGCCTATGGCACCGGTATATAACACTAAAACAAGGACATTCGTACGACGAGGATTGATCGTTTGTTTAGATTTAGAAAATCGGAACACTATCAAGTACTTCCGACTTGGAACAATTACATTTAGCGCAGGCGAAACGCGATCGTTTCGGGTCTACCAGAAGGGACGGGAGCATGAGGGATCTGGGCGTGCGGCAGTCTCAGCTTGAGACCTGACTGTTTTGGGTGATATTAGCAAATACTGTTCATTTGATTACGGCTGGTAGGAAAGACGTACCGAGTTCTTCAGCGATGAGGTCAGCACCCTTCTCACCAATGAGCAAGGCAGCTGAGTACGTGTTCGTTCCCAAGTTATCCTGATATATATTTATTCAGGAAGAAACGATATCACGTTTTGCTGGCACATAGGCTTACCGGGCATATGCTCAAGTCAACACATTTCAAGTTCCCGGTACCGTAGACGCTGAGACGTTTGTCCACGACACCGCCTTGCTCATGTAGCTTCATGGCGCAAGTACCGAGAGAGTGCCATGTCGTTTCGACGTGGTCTGGAATATATGGGATGAGATAAAATATAATTGTGGAACCGATATCGGCGTACCGGCGATCCAATCATCGATGGCTTTGTCATCCCCTGCAGTATACTTGATATCCTCATGAACCTTCTTCGGGTTATAAGGCTCAGACTGCCGGTGCCACGTTCCTGTAGATCGTCCAGAAGCGAGTACCAATAAAGAGGCATATCTAACTTACCATGGCGAATTCCAACAGAAAGCGATTTCGGAAGGATCTGCTTCGCAGTCATGATGTCGAGATCCCTAGCTGCAGCTGGTGAAACTGGATGAAAGTGAGGGTGGTGTGACGTGAGTTCACCACGGAACGCTAGTAACGAAGGTATCGATCAGCTTGATAGAGCAGATCGGTCCTAAATAAAATACGAGCCATTCATCCTCCTTGCAACCTCACGAGTCTTCTTGTAACTCCAGCGAATGGGGGCAAAATCGGCCTTGTCATTCATGAATCCGCTGTCGAAGAAAGGTTCCTTGTACGGGTTCGTCGACTGGATATGGATCTTTCCACGACTGGCAGGGTATTCCTACTGCAGTTTTCGTTCATGAATCATCCAGCTCACTTTAGAGCACTCACCAGGTACGAAATTATCGAGAAATATTTCCCGGGCGGCAACAGAGAATGGTCTGCATAAGCTCCCGCGCAGAGGAGTCCGTACCTAATTTGTAAGGTAATTAGTATTGTACGGTAAGAAGTATGAAAAGAAAGGGACATCTACATAATTGGTTTGTCGGGTTTGTCCTTAAAATACTGGTTCCAGCGTTCATTGAACTCAGTGCCCATTTCCTTCAGTTCTTCCTCAGTTGGACGAATCTTCAACATAATATGCCCGCCTTGACATAAGTCTATGTTAATTAGTAAAGCTCGGATACGTACTTTAAAACCAGCATCGGGAGAATTTCCAGAAAGGACGGCTGCCCCAGGATTAACATCCCATTGAGTAAACAGCTTGACAGAGACGTAGGCGCATTTTAGCAACTTCGTAAACACAAGTTATGAAGATTGTGGATCGTCTCACCTTCTCTTGGGTCGCTTCGTCGCCTCTCATGAAGTCATCGGCCGTCTCAGTCTCAATCGATGCCCGGAAAACTGAACAAGCTTATGAGCACTTTCGATAGACAGACTTCTGTATTAACATACTGAATACAGTCATAGAGTGATCCTGGTAATGCTCTCTGTATAAAGAAAATGATCAGTGGGCGGAATGGAGACAGTGCACGGTAACATACCCGACTCCTGGAAGGTCGCTCACAACTTTGACATCCAGGCCCTGGAGAATTCTGGAATTGCCAACGCCCGAGCGTTCGAGGATCTGAGGATTTCCGAGAGAGCCTGAACTCAATACAACCATCTTCCTTGCACGGACGATCGTCTCCCGAACTTCACCCTTGTGAGCGCGATTGCTGGCGTGAATATAGGCGACTCCAACAGCTTTATTTCCCTCAAAGATGACTCTGGAGACTTTTGAGTTTGTTCGGAGGTGAAGGTTAGTTTGTACATCCATGACACTGTGGACATATGCTGGAAAAACGAAATTAGGAAGATATTTTAAATGAATTGAGATAACATAAATACCGGTTGCGGCATCACTTCGCCTTCCAGTCTCTCTATTGATATATTTCGCCCAGACTTCCGAAGCATGGCTAGTGTTCAAGTCTTATAAGAAGAAGCACCTATTCAATACACTAAGTTCAGAACAATTAACTGTATTGTACCTTGTAGATCATCTGCGGAAAGATGACCTTGTAAAAAAAGTGTAGGCCGGAGACTGATAAATCCATACCAGTGATCGGAACTCCAACTGCATCCGCAGCACGGAGAAAATCGTACGCAAGAGGATTGATCTGGCCACCATTACTGATCGCGATCGGCCCGTCATAGCCGTGCGTGTCATTGTTGCATGGCTTCTGATAATTCTCGATCTTCATAGTAACGGACAAATCAGAATCTAGATAACGACGATTAATATTCCCTATGACATACACGTTTCATGAGAGGCATCAGGTCTATGCAGCCATTAGTTGCTACTTTCGCCATTATGTAGGAGACAACCAACCATTCGCAGTCCAACCCTCCGTTTTGAAGTCATCTTCACAGGATGTCAGACCTTGGATAATCGAAGAAGTCTAGGGCATGTCACCGTAGTCTGATGCGGACGCCTACACAACGGATGAGTATTCTGTAATGTACTTCCAAAAGAACTTTGGACTGAACTCACCCTTGTGTAGACCTGGAAACAAAACAAACAGGACAAGACAGCGTAAGGGATTCGCACGGAAGTCAAAGAGATAGGCCACGCACCATGGTGTTAATACTGCTTCCACCACCTATTGTACGTCATAGTTAGCAGAGTTTCTCTGCGTGGATTGCTCGACTCATTTCTAACGTACCGAGAATGTTAGCGCAGCTGGATGATACTGTTAATCAGCAGATATAGATAGATGATATGGAAGAATACTAACGGGACGATACTCTGACGACCGCGAAGGTGCTTCGACGGTAGTGTGTCAGTATAGAAAGTAGCCATGTCGTTTCTGGTAGAGTATTATCACTGTAAGGAATAACATCATTGAAAGTCTACTACGGGGCTAACATTCCGTCAAACTGCGTATTCCTCGCATGAATACCAGGCCTAGATGCACGATGCAAATGCATTAGACGTAACAAGCTCACTTGGTCAGAACGACGTACCGGTAAACCCATGGGTCATCGCGGTTGTTGTTTCCCCCTATGTTCTTCGATTTTACGAGGCCTCTCGACCTCGTGAAGATACATACACACCTTCAATCAACACGACCTGAAGTGAAGGATCGGCATACGCAAGGCGTCCTGCCACGACGCATCCTGAGAAAAAAATTCTGTGAGAAGATAGTGTAGTCATCCAGCACTACATCCATACCAGCAGCGCCACCGCTAGGGCAAGGACAACCAGTCAATTCACTGCATAAAGGCGTGCGACGTACCCGCATATAATGATGTCCACTTCATCAAGCTGCACCATGACTGACGGTACCAAGTGATAGAGAGTGGAGGCTTAAGTGGACCTGCCGAAGCACCAGACGAGAACGTTTTTATATAAGGGCGTTCGGTGTATGTGAGTCTTAACACCTCAACGTGAGCCGATGCTTCACTGCTTCAGTAATCGATTCCGGGAAAACAAAGATAACCTTACTCGTAAGAGAAATTTTACGAGAACGTCTATAGAGCATCGCAAAAATAGTCGTATGAATATCTACGCCCGGTGTAAGTCCAGTTTGTTCAGAAGGCTGCCAGTGTGGGTGCTGAGGCGAGGCACGTCTTTTACGTTCCGCCGCACAGAACAAAAAAATGTATTGAAGAAAGCACACAAAGTTCGGTGTAGGAGCGAATGAGATGATCAGGAGTTCATTCTCTATTGCAAATTCGACTGCACAGAACGGAGAAAGCAGATTGACGGATACAGTTGCCTCGAACTGGAACTGGAGTGCTCCTCAGTACAAGTTCTTCCATGCTACACAGGCGTCGAGATTCGTCAAGTATGGTAACTCGTTACTCTACAATTAGAGTACCAGTCTTATCCGAAGCAAGCAGTCAGTCATAGAGTGTCGGGTTCTGCGGTCTAACGCAAAACTGAGGACGCCGATCGCGTAAACGCTATTATTGAACCAAAGCCCAGGCTCGATTAGGACGTAATTAGACACCAGAAAGAAAGAAATAGGCCACATAGAGGAACGAGGAGGCTGGTTCAGGTAGATTCGATTCGTCGAGTCCCACACCGGCGAAAAAGAGTGAAAAAAGGTGGGATCGATGAACATTTGAAGACAGCCTGAGAAGCTTATGTAATGCTTATGTAAAGAAGAATTTAGAATTCTCATTGTCAATTTCAGTCTGGCAATTCATAAATTCATCTCACTTTCCATGTGACTGCCATCATGGCGCCTCGCGATCTGTTTTACGTTCTCATTCCCTCTATTTCCAAATGCACCATTCCCTGGATAAGATTGGGAAAAAAAGTGATTCGTCAATTTTATAAATTTTTATCAATGGCATCTTCACTCGGTGCCGGAATAGATGGTCAGACTCACTGCATTATCGTTAAACAGGGCGATAACACAGTATTGCCACGATCTCAGGGATACAGAGAGACAAATTTCGAGCAGAAAGGCTACAAGAGACACTGTGAGGCTAATGTAAAGTGCAGTGGGTCCAGTCTCCATGCCTTGGAACTGATCTCTTTAAAGGTTACGCAACATTAAATCACGGCTTAAATGATTCTTTCTCATACTATCATAACAAGTACAGGAACACATCCACTGACTCAACCCATGTTCCAGAAGAGAAGGCTTGATCAAGGACATTCGTACAGGAGGATTTGTCTTTTGCTTTTGTTTAGAAAACGGACCACTATAGGAGTGTTTATCAAATGCTTTAGAGGTAGAACAGTTACGCTTAGCTCAAGCGCAACGCGACCGCTTCGGGTCTACCAGAAGGGACGGGCGAGTGAGGAATCGGGGCATGTGGCAACCTGAGCTTGAGGCCTGATGGTATAGTGTGATATTAGCAAATACTGTTCGTTTTATTAGCTGGTAGGACCGACGGACCGAGTTCTTCAGCGATGAGGTCAGCACCTTTCTCACCAATGAGCAAGGCAGTGGAGTACGTGTTCGTTCCTACATTATCCTAACGTGTACTCATTTAGAAAGAGCTGGTACTACAATTCGTCGGCATAAAACATACCGGGCAGATACTCAAGTCACAACACTTCAAGTTCTGAGTACCATAGACGTTCAAGCGCTTGTCGACGACACCGCCTTGTTCACGCGGCTTCATTGCGCAAGTTCCGAGGGAGTGCCATGTTGTCTCGGTGTGATCTAAAGCGTACATGGTAAGAGAAGAAATACAGGCCTGTGACGGACAACAACGTACCGGCAATCCAGTCATCGATAGCCTTGTCATCCTCTGCTGTATACTTAATATCTTCATGCACCTTCGTCGGGTCATACGGTTCAGATGCTCGGTGCCACGTTCCTGATAGATCATTTAGAACGAGGATCGACAAGGAGACATTCCCAACTAACCATGTCGAATGCCGACCGACAACGATTTCGGAAGAAGCTGCTTCGCAGTCTTGATGTCGATGTCCCTAGCCGCAGCTGGTGAAGCCGGATGGAAGTGAGGGTGGTGTGACGCGAGTTCACCGCGGAACGCTGATAACGAAAGTATCAATTAGCTCTTCAGAAGAAGTAACCCCAGATAAAATACGAACCATCCATCCTCCTTGCAACCTCACGAGCCTTCTTGTAACTCCAGCGCATTGGAGCAAAGTCGGCCTTGTTGTTCATGAATCCGCTGTCGAAGAATGGTTCCTCGTATGGGTTCGTCGATTGGATATGGATCTTTCCACGACTAGCAGGGTATTCCTAGTGCCGTACGAGTTAACAAGTCAATTATCCAATACATTTTCAGAGCTCTGACCAGGTACTGGAATATCGTAAAATATTTTCCAGGCGGTATCATAGAGTGGTCGGCATAAGCTCCCGCAGTGATTGCTCCGAACCTATTTTGACGGACCATTGGCCTGCTATGGAACATAAAAAGCAATGGATATTTACATAACCGGTTTGTCAGGCTTGTCCCTGAAGTACTGGTTCCAGCGTTCGTTAAATTCAGGGCCCATTTCCTTCACTTCTTCCTCAGTTGGACGAATCTACAGTGTCATATACCGATATCGATGTTAGTTTGTGACAATAACTAAAGGTCAACTACGTACTTTGAAGCCAGCATCAAGGCCGTTTCCAGAAAGGACGGCTCCTTCAGGAGTAGTTTCCCATTGAGTAAAAAGCTAGATAGAACCGCGGGTCGCATCTTTGTAACCCCGTAAACGGACATGTATACATGCTAGACCACCTCACCTTCTCCTGAGCCGCCTCGTCACCTCTCATGACATCATCGGCTGTGACAGACTCGTTCGACGCCCGGAAAACTGGACAAGGCTTATCAGCGTTCTGAACGGAGCAAGCTTTGTATTGACATACTCGACAGAATCGAAGTATGGTCCTGGTATTGTTCCCTTTTGAAGGATCAGTATTAGTGGGTGGAATTGAAACAGTGCATAGTAACATACCCGACTCCCTGGAGGTCGCTCACAATCTTGACGTCCAGGTCCTTGAGAACTTTGGAGTTGCCAACGCCAGAGCGCTCGAGAATCTGAGGCGTTCCGAGAGAGCCGGAACTCAATACAACCATCTTCCTTGCACGGACGATCGTCTCCCGAACTTCACCCTTGTGAGCGCGATTGCTGGCGTGAACATAGGCGACCCCAACAGCTTTGTTGCCCTCAAAGATAACTCTGGAGACTTTTGAGTTTGTTCGGAGATGAAGATTAGCCTGTACATCCATGACACTATGGACATAGGCTGGATAAACGAAATTAGGGAAACGTTTTAAATGAATCGAGATAACATGAGTACCGGTTGCGGCATCACTTCGTCTTCCAGTCTGCCTATTGATGTATTTTGCCCAGACTTCCGAAGCATTGGGGGTGTTCAAATCTTAAAAGAACTGTCTACTCAATGCACCAAGTTATAGACAATTTACTTTGCCGTACCCTGCAAATCATCTGCAGAAGGGTGTGCCAGTCAGAACTTGTAGCCGAAGAGCTTGTAAATCCGTACCAGTGAACGGAACTCCAACTGCATCCGCAGCACGAATAAAATCGTGCGCAAGAGGGTTGATCTGGCCGCCGTTACTGATCGCGATCGGTCCGTCATAGCCGTGAGTATCATTGTTGCATGGCTTCTGATAGTTTTCGATCTTAAAAGGAATGGAGGAGTTACAATCTCAACGAGAACGATGTACAATCGGTACGTACGCGTTTCATGAGAGATATCAGGTCTACACGGTTGTTAGCTGCTACTTCACTTAGGGTGCAAAAGACAACTAACCATTCGTGGCCCAACCCTCCGTTTTGAAGTTATCTTCGCAGAATATTAGACCTTGGCTAACCGAAGAAGAGAAAATCTCACCATAGTCTGACGCGGATGCCTCCACAACTGATGAGCTTCCTGTGATGTACCTTCAATAAACTATGAACTAAGCTCACCCTCGTGTAGACCTAGAAAATAGACAAGACAAAACCTTGTAAGAAGTGGTTCGCAAGGTAAGTCAAAGGGACAATTCATTAACCATAAAGTTAATACTACTCCCACCACCTACATAGCAGTTAGCGGGACATTCTGCGCAAGTCGCTTATCCCGTTTCCAAACTCACCGAGAATATTCGCAACGCTAATGAGATTACTAATCAATAGATACGAATGTACGATAAGATAAAATACTAACGGGACGGTAACCTGACGACCGCGGAGATGGGGTGACTGAAGTGTGTCAGTATAGAAAGTGGCCACGTCGTTTCTGGTAGATTGTTACAGTTGTAAGATACGATATCACTGAAAGTCGACTACGAAGCTAACATTCCGTCATACTGCATATGCTTCGCATAAACAGCTGGGCTAACACGCGCGATACAAAGGTATTAGAAACTTAACGAGCTCATTTGCCTAGGTCAACCTACCGGTAAACCCATGGATTATCTCTGTTATTGTTTCCACCTATGTTCTTCTATTAAACGAGTCTTTTTTGAGTTCGTAGCATGCATGCGCACCTTCGATCAACAAGACCTGAAGTGAAGGATCGGCATACGCCAGGCGTCCTGCAACGACGCATCCTGAGGAGTTCCATGAGAAGACAGTGCGGCCATTCTAACGCTACATCCATACCAGCAGGGCCTCCACTAGACATGATTGCCAGTCAGTCCATTGCACATTAACACAGGTGTGCGACATACCCGCAGACAATGATGTCTACCTCGTCAATCTTCACCATGGCTGATAAGCCAACTGCTCGGAGGGTAATATGAGACTTGAGAGAGTACAATGGGTGAGAGCGGATGAAGGCTCAAGTGAACCTTCCGGAATAGAGAAGACACAACCCTCTTATAAATGGCGTAGTATGCATGAATGTGTTATCAGTTCAATGGGGACCGATGCTTCACCGGTTCATTGCTCATCCATAGAAAGTAAGGCTTACATTGCCTGTGGGATAACATCCGGGAGAACACCCGTAGAATGCCGCAAGAACAGCCACGTGAATAGTTTCGAGCAAGCCCAGTTCGTTCAGAAGAATGTTATTTTGTCATTGAGGTGAAGCTCGGACATAACGTCCCGCCGCATAGCAGGATAAAATTGTATTCAGAAGGAGTACACAGTTCAGTGCAGGTAGATCAGCTGGTCAGGAGTCCATCCTCTTTTGCAATTTTGGCTGCACAGAACGGAGGAATCGGATTGACTATTAAAGTTGCCACGAACGAACTAAGACCTGGAGTGCTCCTTATTAGTTCTTACGTTATACAGGCATCGTATCTTCCTTTCCATGCTTCAACTATCACTCTACAATCGAAGCCTTATCATATCAGGAACAAACAGTCAGGAATAGAAGTCTGAACGAAGCCAGTCAATCGACGCACCGCTGTATAAACGCAGGACCGATTAAGGACGTAACTGGATGCCAGAAAGAAAGAAAGAAGCCTCACTGAGGAATGAGGAAACTGGTTCAGTTAAAAGCCATCGGTCGAATCTTACATCGGCGACAAAGGGGGTATAAAAAAATGTGGTGGGATCAGTGCTGAGTGATAAGTGATTTGAATTTGAAAAGAATAGCGTGAGAAGTTTACGTAATACCCTTACGGAGAAGACGAATTTAAAATTGTTATTTTGGAATTTCATGAATTTCATCTCATCCTCCCCTCAGCAGCGCTCATGGCCGGCTCATGGCCACTAGCACTCCATCTACGTTCCGACATCCTGGGCGTGATCGGGAAGAACGGAATATGTCAATCTTATCAACACACCTGCATTTAGCACCAGACCTGATCGGATGAGACAGATTTCTTGGAGGAACTCGCTGTGTCATCGCTGAACAGGATGATAACACGGTATTGCCACATTGCGGGGGACTCATAACGACAGCTTGCGAGCATAAAGGACGCAAGGGACCCCTCACCCCTTGTGAGGCAAATGCAAGGTAGAGTGGTCCAACATCAAGCCCCGTAATTGGATTCTCTCCTGGGTCAACAAAATCCTCAGCATGAACAGTGTGATGACCCACTCACGTATATGGACCATCTCCTCTGGTTTGATGCATAGGCTTAGTTCCTTTGATTTTACTCCGACGTGAGCTTAATCAAACATCACTTTGAGCTAGGATTCACCACAGATAGATTTGCAAGTTCGCACTTGTCAACCACTCTTCAGCACTACAGTAAAGGCATCACCTTAGATATCCGTAATTGCTACTTTCTCTATCCATTATCCATTAAACATATGCATCGACGGGTTCCATCCCTTTAACCTTACTACCTCAGACATCCTTGCCAATATCCTTATGCAAGGCTGGATCATACTAGTATGGGACGGGGTTTCAGATAACCATAGCTGCGGTTGCAGCCTGTGACGGCGAACAGAGACGGTCCACCGTGTGGTGGACGCATGTTATCACTAAACGAAAAGTTTATCGCTGACATTCTTACAGCGATTATGCCATACCATTGTGGAAGCTTGCAAGCTGGAGGGCATGCACTAGACCGGTGCGGACTCGGAAGAGTAAAACAAAAGTTCATCCTCTTGGTGTAATGGCTTCTTTTTGAAATCTATTTACCAATTGAAACCCCTTTTATTCAGTTCTAGGAGGGATGAAATGGCGCTGCAGGCTGGCTAAATTAATTCAATAATTGCAGGACAAGGCATATGTAATATATTATTTGTTTATTGAGATTTGTTTATTTATGTATCGTTGTGTGTGTATACCAATTTTTATTACCAAATGCTTTCGGATCGGCACAGCGGCAGTGAACAAAGTTGTGTGACGTCATTACCGCTTGTACCTATATCTTCTTGACAATGACACTGCACAAGGCTTGTTACTACAATGCTAGACACCGCCGTCTGTTAGTTAACTACCACCACTTGCTTAACGATGGCACTCGGCTCAGTCAATGCAACTCTTCATCTCCGATGGAGCGAAATTAGCAGCTTACCCTATCGTCTCCTCGTCTTCTGTTTCGACCTGATTTACCAGCTTATTCAAATATTCATCATTCTGCTGTTTAAACCTGTAAGCACCATTGTATACTCTTTCAAGGTCCTGTACTAAAGCTGCGGTGCAGAACACCCCAAAGACTGAGGACCAACCGTCAAAAAGTCCATTCGGGCACGTAGCTGTCATTGGCGCCGGGCTTACAGGAGTCTCTACCGCTGCGTAAGTTGTCGGTTGTGCCATGTGATATTCCTGGACCGTAATTGATTTTCTCCATAGCCATTGCATTGCGCACAACTTCGACGTCACATTATACGACAGTACGAACACCACAGACCAATTGTGGTCCTTGTCATATTACTGACGCAATTTGCTTAGAAAATGATTCCGTTGGCGGCATTTGGTCGCATGTGAATTCCACTTCCGGACTGCAGATCAACTCCCTCATTTATCGTTTCCATCCTGGTGTCTTCTGGCGCGAAGGTTTCCCAAAGCGCGACGAGATTCTGGAAGGTGCGTATTTACGCCATAGATCTTCGCTTACCGGGCAACGTTGTCATTGGTTTCGATTATAGAAATTACTCGGATATGGAATGAATATGCCCTCGAGTCGCGTACCAGGCTCAAGGTATTCCGTTTCTTCGTCACATTTTTAATTTCCTGTTCAAGTCAATTCGCAGGCTGAAGTTGTCAAAGTCGAACGCGCACCTGGCACCGGTCCCACCGGAGAAGAGTCCAAATCTAAGGATTCTCCCAGCCTTCCTCGACGTTCTAAATGGCTCGTCTATACACGAGGAAGAGAAGAACCAGATGGCCCGTTTGACGCAGTCGTATGCACGATCGGAACATGTGGTGAGCCGATCCGCGTTCATTTTGATGGTATGGAGGAATTCGAAAACTCCGGGGGACGAATCGCGCATTCAAGCGAGCTCGACCAACTTGGCACTGAGGGAGACGGATCTGGAGACATGAAGGGAGACAATGATCGGAAAGACAGTAAAGCTGATACCAAGAGTGTATCTAGTGGAGAGGGTCCGGATCTAGGCTCTCCGGACGTCCTGACTCAAGCGCAGCCAGAAGAAGGTGTGAGCTATGCGGATAAAGTCAAGGCTTCCACGGACTCCGTCAATGAGATTGATGCAAACAACCACCGAAATGGAAGAGCAGACTCGGACTCAAACAAAGGAAAGGGTAGAGAACAAGGACGTCCCAAACCTCTCAATATCAAAGGTAAAACTATCGCCATCGTTGGCTCAGGCGCTTCAGGTGTTGAAGCAGCCGAGTGGGCTGTTGAGAAGGGTGCAAAGAAAGTCTTCCTGCTTGCTAGGTCAGCGACCCGTTTGAATTATGCTACCAGAACCTACCTAATGAAAATACCCATTGCTCCAGAGATGATAAGTGGATTATTCCGCGAAATGTCGTTTTTGACACGCTTCTCGCAATGCAACCCTTCGGTCGGGAAATGCCGCTTAGTTTCATTGTTGAAGGACTTCTACGCAAATTCCACTACAAAGACCTTGCCCCGGATGTTGCTCCGCAGAACAGGGGTCTGTTCGCCGGTACTCCGGTACGCAATCATGTATTGTATTTGCTTAAGTTTGCCAGTGATATTTGATATACGTAAAGGTCGTCAACGATACTATCCTCCACCACATCCGTTCCGGACTGGTCGAATATGTTCGGTGTTCGACAGAACACCTCACGTCAAAGGGTGTTGTATGCAAGTACCACGGGAGTGAGAGAACTGTGGAGTTTGACGCAGATGTTGTGATCCTTGCAACTGGCTTCAAACGTTCTAGTGATGAGTTCTTGCCAAAGGAGCTGTTCCCTCCAGGATACGATGTCCGTCTCGACAAGGCAGTTATTATTATCAAGGGATTGACTAATAATATTCGTGAATAGCGCCCGAATCTCTACCTGCAGACTTTCTGCACAGAAGACTGGTCGATCTTGCTCACGAATGCATCGTACATGAATGCGATCGGTACTGTTGGGCACTTGTAAGCTTCCTTTCCCCGCCTGGACAGTGTTTTTCGTAATTAACTCGTTTGTATTCTCAGCCATATTGGAATCTGTAAGAAAGGCGAACTTGAATATACCTCGTGATCTAATGCTGATTGAACCCTGGAATCGCAGATACCCGCATTCTGTTAACTTTCCTCCTGGACAAGAATGCTAGACCGAATCCACATGATATGAAGCTCTGGGTGGACGTATTGCGATTCATCAAACGCGGCGCACCGGGTGGAGCGCTTGGATTCTTCACGTATGCGGAGCTGAGTACGTCTTCGTTCATATTTTAAGACCATTACTCTCTTTCGCTACTTTCAGAGTGCTGTTTCTGATCAATCTTCTTTGATGTAGCATTCTGGTTCTTGTCATTCCATTTATTCCGGCCTAGTCGATTGAGGTGGATATTCTTTATCATGCAGGGTTGGGGAGTGACTGCTGAGGATAGCGGCCGATTGAAAGTTGAATAAAACTCTTCCTGTGGCCTATCTAGCGTTCTGTTATCTTTCTATGTGGGGACAAAAGTTCCCATTTATTAACAGGTCTGGCAATTCGGATAGAATTTCTTGTAAAGGTGAAAAATATATAATTTTATCGTAATACAAATGAGGGTGTGGAACGATGGACGGAAGTCACAATCATTTTAGTGCATTGGGCCAGTAGATTGTATCGTTCTAAGAACATTCTACTAGAGAGCAGGACGAATAGACAAGAGCGAAAAGAAAAATACAAAGATATCTCAGCGAACGGCACTTATATTGTGAAGAAGTTATGAAATAAGTCTTAACAAACACAGGGCTTTTTATCTGTTCTCCATGACCTTGCCATGGGGTTTACAACCTGTTCACTTCATTGGAATTCATCGCTAATCTATCCTTCCCCTTCCTGGTATGACATGGGAGAAAGCCAAGGGCATCAGACTCGACAAGACATCTATTCAACCCTTTTTTTCTCCGACTGAATAACGTCCTCCTTACTCGGAGTGACCGACACATTCGCCGAGTTCTTCCCGCTAGCATTCTCTCTTACATTCCTCCTTTCCTCACTTGATATACCCAAAATCGCATCGGCTTCGGGAGTTCCAGCAAGTGGGACATCCTTCCTCAAGCTCACTTTCACTGGTGACACGCCTTCGTTGTATGCAAGTGCGAAGACGACGTCCATGTCTTCAAGAGAGCGACCTGCTGTTTCTGGGAAGAAGAAATAGCATGTGGGGACGATGATAGCATTGAATGCTGCGAAGATAATGTATGTTCCCCATTTGATGTTCTCGAATGCTGGTGAGGTGATCATTACGACCATAAACTATAATAACGCATGACATACCGTAAGTAAATAATTTTGGCTCGAATAATATGGATGAACACTGACGTTAAAAGTCCAGTTACTTGCGGTACTCAAAGCGTTTGCTTGAGCGCGTACGCTAAGACCAACAATCTCGGCGGAGTATAGCCATGACATTCCAAGCCATCCGATTGCAAAGAACGAGTTGAACACGAATAACAGGACAGCCGAAACGATCTGCGCAGGCGTGTTATCCACTGCTCCGAGGATCGCTAGCAAAATCATCGACCCGCACATCCCAGCAGCACCGAAGATCATAAGCTTCCTACGTCCAACGCGTTCAATTATGAAAATCGCGATCAGACTTGCAAGGAAGAATTCCGTTCCGTTACATGCTGCGACGATTCGCGAAGTGACGTTGTCCATACCGAGTCTCTCAAATAAGAGTGTTGCGTAATAAATAACTAGGTTGCACCCGGAGATTTGCTGGAACATCTGAGAAAGCACTCCAAGAGATGCACGACGAAAGTTTTGGGAACGTCCACCTGTCAAGAGTTCTCCGAAGCCGCGACTCGCATATTGCTCCTCCATTGCAACGGCTTCGTGAATACCGATGTATGTCCGTTGCACATCAGCATTTGTTATTGGGGCGTCATCGAGTGCGGAAATGACTGCAAGAGCTTCAGAATGTTTGCCTTTCCTTACTAGCCAACGAGGCGATTCGGGTAGGAAATACACGCCAACTATCATTATGAGAGCGAGGATGACCTGGAAGCAAATTGGTACACGCCAGGAGGCAGAGGAGGTTTTGAGCCAGAAACTATCAAGCAGGGACATAACAGTTAGCTTAGACTAAAGGAGATTACGATTCGACACACAATGCGATATCAATCCAGTACGAAAGCATGATGCCGAAGGAGATGAGTGAGCCTTCGATCATGATGAAAGCGCCACGTTTATCTGCAGCTGAGCACTCTGCATGGTAGGACGGAACAGTAGACGTCTGCGGGTAGTGATACACGGTCAGTTTACCAGCTTAAATATAGAATTATAGCTGAAAGTGGGGAAGTAAGACTAACATTGAGACCATTACCAATACCAGTGACAATGCGAGCGACAACAAGCATGGCATACGATATTGAGGCCGTTTGAAGAGCTGCACCGATAATCATGATTATTCCGCCGAGAATAATTGTTCGTCTCCGGCCGAGCTTATCGCCGAGCCAGAGGTTAGAAAGTGCGCCTGCAAGGCAGCCGAGTTCCTACATTAAGAATAAGTTTGATCGCGTATCAAACTAACATGGCGGAGACTTACATAGACAGCAACAACAAAAGACTGGAGGGTCGCGTGGTTCGGATGAGCGTCATCAACGACGACTTGCGGGAATGTATCTTCGAAAGTCTGGAGGGTAAGCAAAGAAGACATGACACCCTGATCATATCTATCACATGCATGTGATCAGTACGTTGTTCACCGCATGCCCATCAATGCGAAACTACCAACCCGAAGAGGGTGAACCCAGTACCAGCTACGAATGCGAGAGCATAGGTGAGGACCTTGCCCCTCATACGGGGCAGATTCTTTTCGACCTGTTGGTCAAGCTCGGATTCGGACATCCCAGTGAGGTTTTCGAGGTGCCTCAGGGAGCACTTGTCGTCGATGGTGCCATTCTCATCAACGGCGTTAATCGTTTCTGCGCGGCCCATGTTAACGGGAGCTGCGAGTTCAGGATATTTCTGTTGTTACGCGTAGCCTAATGAAAGACTACGGCGTCGTCGTCCAGAAGAGAAGGTGGAGAAGAGCCGTTCGAAGCGCGGAGCTCCCGCATCCTCTGCATAATCATCCTTTTATACTTCCGGTTAAGCGTTGCAGATTATTAGTGAGTGCCCCGTATTTCTCGGTTATCTTTTACCCGTCTGAGGTTGCCTGAGGATTCCCCTCGTTCCTTTTGCATGGTTTCGAGCCGGGAGAATAGTGGTGCATCACCGCATTACCGCATTACCACATTATGGACCACCGGGATCCAAATGCTTCCGTCTTTTTCGTCTTCTTTATCAAATGACGCTCTAGATTCTCATTCATGTGATTCCTTCGTCGACAGTATTCTGACCTTCTGCTTTGCCATCCATGGCTTTCGAGTTCTTTTGAACGAGATAGACGGGAGCAGATTGCAGAGTGGACGTGGTAGACAATGACGCCGATCAAAGGATTAGCGTAAGATGGTGCAGACTTACCGCCCTTTTTTGAATGACGAATTCGAATCTCCGCCCCCGGTCCGATGTCCGGTTCCAGTTAAGGCTGCGCACGGGCCGAAAATTTTCCTCTTCTAGCACACCCCCTCTCCCTCTTCATGCCTTTGCTCTAGCTTCTGTTCAACACACCGTGTTCATTTAGTTTTCTGCAAAGTGCGATTTCATACATATTCAGAAAAGAATGTGGCCTTTGGTTCCTGTTTGCTACCGCGCATAATTATGTACAACCTGCAGTAACCGTCGACCTACTCCTTTACATTATCGCTTCGCGTGTCAACACCCTTTCCTCCAATGCTCCACATGCCGAACCGAGCCGGCCGTCGATTTCCAATGATGATGGTCCTATTTTTCAGCCTCGTACCGTACTACCGAAATCTTATAGTGAGTACAAACCGCAGCGCAAGTGTGTTAACATAGCGGCGGCGGAGGTGACTGACATTTGCCTCATTGCTATCCTCATTCTCTTCCAATGAGGACCTTGATCCTCTACCTATGGCTAATAACCTCCGGCAATCCTCTTATAGCAAACCGCGAGGCATTCCGCGGCAAAGCTCAAGTCATGCATGCACGTTGATATCTATGCATCAATCAGAACCTCAGAATTTAGATGCGGTGACAAATCGAAGGACTTCTTAAACTTCTCGTTATCCATGCTCTGCCCTGACAATGGGAAAAGACTTTATGCGTAGCTGTTCAAGAGATAGTCGAGCTCCTTAATAATTTGGCAAAGGACCGACGCTGCTAATCGTCGATTACCTTTGTCATGTTCCTTATGAAATGGTCCATAGATCGTGAACTTGGCAAATTGAGAACGGAAGACAAACAACGTACTGTCGCGGCGCCCCTTGCGGGCCAGACCCACATGTGGGCCATTTTACTATTCCTCCCCCAAATTTTGCTCAAACCTCATAAAAATTTGTAGATATGTAGCTAAACATCTAATAAATATATATCTAAAAATTTGAGACGGAATAATGAGCAGTAAAAAAGTTATTATACTTACAATCTGAAGAGTATGAAAAATTACACTTTTGGAGTGAACCAAGCTCTTTCCCACACAATTAATACACTATATTAATTCAAGGTATTATTATTTCAAGCTGTAATTTTGTAAACTTGTGTATTAGTATGTTTTTTGTTGATATTAATTTTTGTAGAAGTTTCTGTGCAGTTTTAAGTAAGTTATAAGAAGAATCGCTAATAGTATGATTTTAACAGATTAGAATATACAAATTTACTAATCTCTGTCTTTATAATTTTTATACTCGATTCTACTATTAGGACTAGTAAAATAAAGTTAATATTTATAATTATATACATTAGAGGTATATATTTACCAAAAATTATAACTTAAACTTAATTACTTCAATTTATATTATGTTATTATTTTTATAACTATAAAAATTATAATTATAATAAGTATTAGTAGTAAACTACTGTTATTATCAAAAAAAAACATGTGTCCATCCCTCATGATAGATATAATAAAGTATGAAAAGTAGT